TTGGTTCGAGGGAAACTCGTGGAATAGGAAGGCGCTTGTCGAACATCATTTTCGGCTCCCAGGGCTCCGCCTCTGACAGGTTTGTTGTGGTCTCCTTGAAATTTGTTTGTTCATTGTTTTCACTCATTTTATTTCAGCTCACATGTTATTAACTCGCTAGTTTTCCGAGGAGATTCTCAGGAGGATGGAGATGTCAGTGTTAGAATTTTCTTCATTCATTACTCGTTCTAAAATCGAGGAATCACGTTAACCAGATGTTATTTATGAAGCAGAAATGTCACCTTTCATGGTGAGATATCGTGCACTTAGTTCCGTTGCTATTCTGTGCGCTGCTTCAGGCCGCCGACGCAGCGGTTGTTACGATCTCACCAAGCTGTATGAACTGCTTCAATGTTGATAAGAAAGGATTGGCATGGACCGTTAATACTCGTACTTTCTTGGAGGGATACGTCACGGGTTTTTTCGAGGTCTGTCAATCATTGAATGTGTGTATTTCTATTGTTTTTCGCCGTTCCTATTCGGTTAAATCACTGCGAGCTCATTGCGTTCATTTTTTGGCATCATTGCTGCAACAGAATCTGAAAGTGAAATAATAATAGGAGAAGGTAGGTATGCTGTTCCTGGTGTGAGGGTGATTAGACCGATGTCGTTCCATCGTTAGCATGATATCTGCATGGCTAGAACGCCCTTCCTTCCTTTTTGGCGTCCGGGTTTCAAAAAAGTGCATGGGTCTATCTCGGTTAGGTTGAGTTAATGGTATATGTTAGGATTTGTACAGGCATGAGGTAGTGGAAGTTGGAGCGCTATGTGGAAAGGTAAGGAAAGCTTTTTGAGCCCTTTGCGAAGTGAGAGAGAATTGTTCACTTCTAACTATAAGACATGCTTTTAACCAAATTTATCTATTCACCTATCTGGGTAAGCTGATCCGCTTCCATGGTCTGTTACAGCGATCATCACGTGGACGGCTAGTTGCTGGAGTGAATGTGTGGCTACTCGATGCAGCGAAATTTCGTGGTGGAATACTTTTACTGCTCGCAGGCAGTCATGACAACACATTGAGTGTCACGTTTTTCTTAGGCGAGTATTCAGTTCTCATAGTAGTTTTACGCTATGAAACTTGATTTTTACTTGTTTCAGCAATGACTCGGTTCGACGGCGGCGCACCAGCAGATGTTGAATGGTTCTCAGTAATACCTGTTGGAAGCAGTCACACGAATGACTTCAAGGTATTGATTTTGAACAATGCTTGCTGCGAGCTTTTGTAGGAGGCTTTAGGAGAAACGTTGATGTAATACAATCGATC